GTGCGATTGGCACAGAACAGAGTGGAGTTTAGGGCTGGTGTGCATAGGGTCGCTATGAGTCGCAAGCGACTCGACGGCACATAACAACAACAACCTTTAAATTGGTAATATAATGTCTTACCCATTAGATTGTCAGAGTTCACTGTAAATTATCAATTCTACAAAATCAAATGGTCAACATTCAGGAAAACAAGAGATGAGGTAAGAAGAGGAGGGAAAGCGAGACTAATGAAAACAGAACAGAAACAACAAAAATGAAACAAAAATGCACATGTATGAAAATTTTCAAAGGGAGACCTAACTTGCCGTGTAAATGCTCTAAAGCACGATAAAATATTACTGTTTTTTAAAGTAGAAGGGAGAGTACTTGGCAAGGGATAGCAAAGATGTTTTAGCAGAAAAAAAGCCCACACTATCTAGGACTTCTCTAAGCAGTCTGCTCTCTTCCTCCTACAAGCTGTCACGAAGCGCGGAATTTGAGGAAGTGCCAGCGGGTCGCGTGCCAGTCCCAGCAGATGTTTCCAGCACCGTGACGTGGAGGGGCACTGCCAGCACAGGCGCCCCGCTCCTTTCACTAGTTCGGCAGATTGTCTTCTCTTGAGCAACACATGGAGGTTTCAAAATGACCCCCTGCACCACGCAGGGATTTTGGCCCAAGACCAATGAAAAACTGAACTAAGAGCCTCAATTCTAAGTATGAAGAGTCTCCAAGTTAACATTTTTCTTACTAAATTGTTCTTCCCTTCTAAAGCTCCAACTCTAAAGCCTCTGCCATCGAGCCAGTTCTGACTCATAGCAACCCCTCCTTGGGTTTCCAAGTCTGTAGATGTTTTTATGGAGAGACTGCCCTGCTTTCTCCCACAGAGTGACTGGTGGATTCAAACCACCGTCCTTTGGGTTAGCAACACAATACACTACCAACTATGCCACCGAGTTCCTTGGGTCACATTAAGGAAAGCAAAATTTGCACTTTGGATCTGAAGTTCTGCACTGCCCTGATTCGTTCATAGGCTGATATTTTCCATCTCTCAGTGGCACAATAATCTTACGTGCCTGTTATTAAGATGTGTTGCTCTAATTTGCATTATCATCTTTTCCACTGAATTTTCCAGGGGAGGTAAACACAGAGAAATCAAGAACTTGTTCCCAAGCCTCAGCAGGATATGACCACAGCCTGCTGAACTTGGTGAGATAAAAGAGCAAATATTCCCTTTGACACAGGTTTTGGGAATGGCCGTATTTGGGGGGCCTTTTAACTCTTTCTCTGTTATTACCAATTTTTGTCTCATCTATTAGCAACTGGGATTTTCTTGCCCATCCAAACCTTCACCCACTATCAAAGCTCAGGCTCTGTGTGCCAGGAAGCAGTCTTCACCGTCACTGCCATCCACTACCTCTTGTTTTGCTTGGTGGAAATGAAGCACAGCTGCAGCTATTCAGCAGCCTCATCAATGGAAGTTGAAAATTATAATCATTTAATTAACCAGAACCGCTGAGTGCATCCTTACATTGTTCCCCAGTCTCCTCTTCAGGATAAATGCTCCCAACTCATTGCAACTTTTTATTAAAGAATGGGGTCCGTCTTTTACTCACGCACTCCTCCCATCAAGTTAGTTCCCACTCAGAGCAACCCCCCATCAGGTTTCTGAGGCTAAATCATGTGGAAAGAGGACTCTGCCTCTATGCTTCTCAGAGCAGTTGGTGGATTCAAACCACAGGTGACTGCATCGCCAGGGGACTCCAATTTTTGACAATTCTAAAATAACATTTTAGTGATACATTTTTTATTTCATTCTTAAAATATAAGCCTATAATTTAGATAATACATTTTGTTACAAGTTTAGGTCAATACCTAACCCCTCAAGTACAAACAATATTAAATTTCAACTAGTTAAAATATGGGCCTTACATATATGCACATATGTACAAATACAGACATACACAAAACAACCTCAAAAATTAAAACCTCTTGACCAGTTTAAAGTAGTCTACTGCTGAACCTCATTTATATTTTTAAAAGGATGTATGTATAAACCACATATTTTAAAAATACATTATCTTCTTGTAATAAGAACACTCTGAATGATTATACTGGGCCAATCGGCATCATCAGGATGGATGGTGAAGAGATTGAGATTGTTCACAGCTTTAGTTTGCTTGGCTCCACAGTCAACACTCTTGGCTCCAGTAGCCAGGAAATTAAAAG